TGCTCCTCACAGCAACTACAGACAAGAGAATGACCGCTCCCCACATTAAATGGGGGCCCCCTTTGCGTGGTTGCGTGCAGCCCCCTGGACCCTATGCGGCACCATTAACACAGGCTTGGCTTCGCCTTCCCAAGGTGGGATACCTGGAGGTCTCCGCCTACCTCAGCCAGTTGCCCAATCCCCACTCAACCTCCTCCCAACCATGGGACACATTAGGTGACTTTAGTCTGGCCCTCCAGACTCCAGATCCCATCATCCCTCAGTGTTGTCTATGCCGGCTGAGACTGATGTGAGCTGGAATCCAGAAACATCTGGAGGACCACAAGCTCCCCATCCCCGTTTTAGGCAAACCACTTTCACTCAGTCTCCTCCCCTCCATCTGTAATGGGAGAGATAATACGAATGATCCAAGTTGTTGCATAAATATTACATCACCACCACCACCACCACCACCACCACCACCACCATTGCAGCAGTACTGCACATTAGCTGAGAGTGCATTAGTTCTAGGGACAACAGATTGCACAAACAGACCCTGGCAAGAATTAGTGAAATCTCATGCTGGTTAACACAGGATGCTAACAGAGAGAATGTGGGACTGGTAGCAAATCCCGAGGCAAGTTTTATGTCTTAATTTATGTTCAGGGGAGACACGGGACTTGAGCAAAAAAAAAAAAAAGTGCAAATGACAAAAACAAAAGCAGCACAGTCCAGAATTCTTAGCCTAACACTGCAGGTTGCATAATATGTAGGAGACTCTAAATGTGAGTTCTAGAGACACAGGCTGTATCTCATGATCTTCAAGGTCTTTTATCACCATACTGTATTACTCATTCCGGGTCCTGGGAGAACAGAGGGCACTTTGTACTTCTGAGCGCAGGATGGGGGAGACAAGGGAGAACTCATCCAGCTCAAACTGACCATAATGGCTGGAGGACTAAAATGATGTTTCATAGAATCTTCTTTGTAGCCCTGTTGGACTCTGCCACCTAGTGGCAGGCCAAGAGAGCAGCATGGCTTTTGGAAGGCTCCTGCAGTCTGCCCTCCTCCCTCTCTGCCACCCACTTCCTGTCTAGGAGCGGGCGAGCAATTTGGTTCAGGGTGACCCTACCTACGAAAATGTATTCTGCAGCTCCCGAAAGAATAAGTGAACCAAAGCACAGCCGCCTCTTGAAATCTGCACTCCTCCGAATTCTGTGTCGCAGTGCTCCAGTCAAGTAATGCTTGCAAAAATGTGTGTGTGTTTCAGGGTGTGCATTAAAAATGCACATATTCATGAAAGTAACACACAAAAATTGCTTGCAGAAATGTATATCATAGGCAGAACGGCATGTATAAATGTGTGTGTGTTAGGAAAAATGCACAGTAACAGCCTGATGTATTTTCAAGAGGATTTTTCTAAAAATCACATACTGATATGGCAATACAGAAACAAGATGAACTGGGAGGAATCGTGACCCTCCCTTGATTGATTTGTCTCTCCCTAAGTGAGTGAGGGTATTAGATGGGTGGAGGAGAAATTGTGATACCCCCCCCCCACACACACACACAATTCTTATTACTGTTGTTGCATCAAACAGCTGAGTTGCTCTCAAACCTTTTGCTACCTAAGACGTAAGCCAAGATGGTATATGCATAAACCCATTTCACAGATAGAAGCCAACTGTACTGATGGGACAGCATCCCCCACCATGCATGAGGGCAGCAGGCTAGCTTAAGGGGAAGAAGGAAAGCCTCGCGGCACACGTAACATTGTCTTCCAACATAAAACCATAGTGCTATAAGAATTCTAAGGTCTCAAATATAAAACAAATGTTCATAAATGTACAAGGCAAACACATACATAAGTATATAAACCACATGTCTGAAATAGTACAGGAGAGCAATCCTGAAGCCATTTTGACTCTCCCAGTGACCTCAAATATACCTCTGCAGTAAGGGAGGGAAATGGGGAAAGCCTTCCCATTGTCTTTTTGCTTGCAAAGCCTGCCTTAAAGGGCGTATTTGTGTATGAATAGGGGGCGTGGGTGGCGCTAAACCACAGAGTCTAGGGCTTGTCGATCAGAAGGTTGGCGGTTCGAATCCCCTCAACTGGGTGAGCTCCCGTTGCTCTGCCCCAGCTCCTGCCCACCTAGCAGTTCGAAAGCACGTCAAAGTGCAAGTAGATAAATAGGTACCGCTCCAGCAGGAAGGTAAACAGCGTTTCCGTGCGCTGCTCTGGTTCGCCAGAGGCGGCTTAGTCATGCTGGCCACATGACCCGGAAGCTGTACGCCGGCTCCCTCGGCCAATAAAGCGAGATGAGAGCCGCAACCTCAGAGTCGTCCGTGACTGGACTTAACGGTCAGGGGTCCCTTTACCTTAGGGTGAGCCTATTCAGGAACTAAAGTATTTACCATCACAAAAGAAAGGCCAGGCTGCCCAGGTAAAGCAGTCAGTGGCCATTGTCAGGTATCCTGGCAGACACGATTTCTGCTGTAGACCCGCCTCCTTCTCTGATGTATGTATGATGTTTTTTGTAGGGGGGGGTGTCTTGGGCTACAGGGTGGGCAATTTCAGAAGTCTATATAAGGGCTTGCGCACTATTGTTCGGGGCTCTCTCCTCCCTCCTGCCTGTGGGGAGTGGGGACCCTGTTGTAACAGTACTTTTCTATTGCAATGAAGATCAGGCTTACTAGCCACTTTGCTTCTCAATATACTCTGTTATTTTCTCCTACCGATAGGGAACCCACTTAAGGACTCTATGCGGGCTCTTGGATACCCCATAAGGGAAAAGGAGCAGTTTTTTTCTTATAACAATAGAATTGTAAAGTTGGAAGGCACCCCTAGAGTCATCTATGTGGCAGCTAGACTGGTGACTGGGAGCAGCCACTGAGACCACATAATACCAGTCTTGAAAGACCTACATTGGCTCCCAGTACGTTTCTGAGCACAATTCAAAGTGTTGCTGCTGACCTTTAAAGGCCTAAACGGCCTCGGTCCAGTATACCAGAAGGAGCCTCTCCACCCCCATCGTTCTACCCAGACACTGAGGTCCAGCGCCAAGGGCCTTCTGGCGGTGCCCTCACTGCAAGAAGCCAAGTTACAGAGAACCAGGCAGAGGACCTTCTTGGTGGTAGCACCCGCCCTGTGGAACGCCCTCCCACCAGATGTCAAAGAGAAAAACAACTACCAGACTTTTAGAAGACATCTGAAGGCAGCCCTGTTTAGGGAAGCTTTTAATGTTTGATGCATTACTGTATTTTAATATTTTGTTGGAAGCTACCCAGAGTGGCTAGGGAAGCCCAGCCAGATGGGTGGGGTATAAATATACCGTATTTTTTGCACCATAACACTCACTTTTTTCCTCCTAGAAAGTAAGGGGAAATGTCTGTGCGTGTTATGGAGGGAATGCCTACGGGTGGCATTCCTACAGATTTTCCTCCTCTAAAAACTACGTGCGTGTTATGGTCGGGTGCGTGTTATAGAGCGAAAAATACGGTATATATATAGTCCAACAGCTTGCAAACAGGAATCACAGCTAAAGGATTCCTGACAGATGGCCTTCCAACCTCTGTTTAAAAACCTCCAGGGAAGGAGAGGCAGCAACCCATAGCTGTCAACCATCCCTTATTTGGCGGGAAACTCCCTTATCCCAGCGCCGTGTCCCGCTGCTGTCCCAGATTGATGATGTCCCTTAAATTTCCCGGGTTTCAAGCTCGCCCGGCTCAGGAGGGAAGCAGCAGCTCAGGGTCTTCCGCCGCGCACGAGAGAGCGTGCATGAGCTGCCGCGTCTCCGTCTCTCCTTTTTCCCCCTTAGGGGTGCGTCATGAGGAGACGGGTGGCGGTGGGCGGGCAGGCAGCCCCTCTCTTGCGAGACTTCTGCCGCGCTGCCAGGGGAAGCCAGAGGCGGCTGAGGAGGCGGCCTGAGGGAGGAGGAAGAGGCGGGGATGGGGAGGGAGGCAGAAGCGTGGCGCTTCAGCGGCCACCGCAGCGCTGCAATCGCCTCATGCCAGGCTCGTGGGCGAGAGTCTCTCTTCCTCCCTCCCTCTCTCTCGGGCGGGGAAGGGCCGATGGAACTCCTTGTGCCAGGACAACGTCAGCCCCGATGTGCATAAGCTAAGCAAAATCCCTTATTTTCAAGGCTGCTGATCCCTTATTTTCAAGGCTGCTGGTCCCTTATTTTCGAATCTGTAAGTTGACAGCTATGCAGCAACCTTCTGAGGTAAACCGTTCCCCCATTGAACAGCTCTTACTATCAGAAAGTTCTTTGTGTTGTTTAGGCAGAATCTCATTTCTTGTCAGTTGAAGCCATTGGTTTGGGGAGTCCCATACTCCGGAGCAACAGAAAGCAAGCTTGCTCCATATTCCAACACCTCTCACTGTCCCCCACCTGAATCCACCATCTGTTGGCTGAGTTGACCCCCTCACTCTGCCAATTGGTAAGTCCAGCCCTGCTATCAATGTCCTGCTATGCAAAAGAAGGTTTCTCTGGTTGCTTATCGCTTATCACAACAGCTGTATCTGTAGGGAAAGGGTGGGTGGAAAACGTAAAATAAAATAAAAAAATCTTCCAGATGGAGCAGACTACACAAAAGCACAGGAAAGTTGAAATGCAATTATAAACTCACCTTCTCCCACAGTCATCAATCAATCAGTTAAGAGCCCAATGCAGGTGGATTTAAAACAATTAACGAATTAAAAACAAATTTTGTTCCCAGCGTACATCGAGGAGTTTTTCGTTCACCCAGGCTTTTCTGGATTATTAAAATTGGCCAATTAGTATTACTGCTCACTGTGAGATTGCGGAAAACGTACTGAATCTATACATTCAGTGTTGCTTTTATTACTTATTGTATGGCTTGATCTTTTGTACACCTGCTTTGTTTTTTTTAAAAAAAATATATTAAGCAGCCTTAATGTTGAAAGAAAGAAAAAAAGAAAAACTGTGTTTCTGCCTTTGACATGTTTGACTGATCAAACTACAGGAAGCATACAATGTAAAATGAACCCAAAGCCTCCCCTCCCATTTGCCTGTCAAATAATCTCAGGTGTGTGTCTCCCCATTTAAATTCTTATGCCTTTGTCTTTTAAAACCTCCCAACTGGCCTGATGTCCCACAAGGGAGCAAGAATAAGTACACAGAGATGCTCTTCTCCACTGCTTCTTAAAGTCATCTTTCAGTAAGCTTCACCTTGGGAATACCTGGTAGGTGAAAACAAAAGAACACCAGGTCTACATTTTAGTTCTGGAAGGGCCTGTGGAGGCAGGAGGTCTCAGGTTCCAACCCTAACATTTCTAGGTAAGGTTGGGAGAGATTCCCCTGCCCAAATCTCTGAAGAGCTGATATCTGGTCAGTGTGGATGATGTTGAACTGGATCATGGGTCAGCAGACTAAGGCCTGGGGGCCAAATCCGGCCCAATTGCCTTCTGGATCTGGTCTGCAGACGGTCCAGGAATCACCACATAGATTGGCATGGGGATTCTGATTGTTTGGGCTGCATCATTCCCCATACACACACACACACACACACCGCCACCGCCTCCGCGCCTCCTCCCTCCCTCCTCCTGGCTTCTTCCCACCCTGCCTAGAGGAGGAAGGGGGCTGGGCTTTGTTGAGCTGCAGTTGGCTGAGCGCCATTTTAAGCAGCCCCTCTCCGGAGCCAGCCCTTTCACGCCACTCATCGTCCCCCTTCGCCGCCGCTGCCAGCCCCTGCCACTCGCAAGGCACAGGTAAGCAGCCACCGGGACTCGTCCGGTGCTGTGGAGAAGGGAGGGGAAAGTCAGTGGGAGGGATTTCCCTCCACAAAATATAGTCTTCCCCCCCACAAGGTCTGAGGGACAGTGGACCAGCCCCCTGTGGAATAAGTTTGCTGACCCCTGAACTGGATGGACCAATGGACTGGCTCAGAATGAGGTCGCTTCCTATGTTATGAAAAGTTTGCGTTAAGTTCTGAAATTGGAATTCTTGGCATTTGTTGTCCTAGGCTGTTGCTTGGGCACCAGGACAACGCTGTGTTCAGCGGGGATTGCTCATTACATAAGTGTGTGTAGCACTGCAGCCCAAATTCCTAACAAGGAAAAGAAACAGATGTCGCTCATTTGCATAAGTTAATTTACTTAAGTACATGCAACTGTATGGTTGCCTATTGTCTAACAGTGAGACTAAACCTTAAAAAAACAAACAACCAGGCAGGTTGTTGTTTAAAAAACTAATTTCTCAAGGGCTGGTAACACTGTGACTTTTTTATGGGGAGTACAGTTTCTCTTTGTAGCTTTTTTCAGTGGTGCTACTCAGGGCTTCAAGATAAACCGAGTGCCTTAGCTCTTTACCCTAAAGAATGACTGTAGAAGTAAACTATGATAAAATATGGATTTCAGTTTGGACCAGGAGCCTTCGCTCTAATTTTTCCACCTTCTGGTCTTGCTGAGACTACAGCTCCCTGACCATTGCCTATGCTGGCAGGGCAGTGGCATAGCATGGGGGGGCGGGACAGAAGGGCGGTAGCCCTGTGTGCAAAATTGCTAGGGGGTACAAAATTTCAAATTAAAAGAAATTAAAAGACGCCTGCTTCTTGGGAGAAAAGCAATGACAAACCTAGACAGCATCTTAAAAAGTAGAGGCATCACCTTGCCAACAAAGGTCCGTATAGTAAAAGCTATGGTTTTCCCAGTAGTGATGTATGGAAGTGAGAGCTGGACCATAAAGAAGGCTGATCGTCGAAGAATTGATGCTTTTGAATTATGCTGCTGGAGGAAACTCTTGAGAGTCCCATGGACTGCAAGAAGATCAAACCCTGAGTGCTCACTGGAAGGACGGATCGTGAAGCTGAGGCTCCAATACTTTGGCCACCTCATGAGAAGAGAAGACTCCCTGGAAAAGACCCTGATGTTGGGAAAGGTGGAGGGCACAAGGAGAAGGGGACGACAGAGGACGAGATGGTTGGATAGTGTTCTCAAAGCTACCAGCATGAGTTTGACCAAACTGCGGGAGGCAGTGGAAGACAGAAGTGCCTTGGCATGCTCTGGTCCATGGGGTCACGAAGAGTCAGACACGACTAGACGACTAAACAACAACAACAAAATTTCAATACCTGGTGCTGCCTCAATACTGCTACGTGCTTCCGTCACTGGACTCTGTTGAAAACGGCTTCTCCATGTGAACCAGTGACCTCTCCAGACAACTTTTCTTTTCTTATCTCTGCAACTGCAATCTCCTGGATAACGTGGATGCCTCTAGCCAGTTGAATGCACATGCGTACTCTGGCCATTTCCTTTCCTCCTACCCACCCCATCCTCACAGCCCCGGGAGCTGGCAACCCAAGCTATGCCACTGTGTCTGGGTGCCAACAGCAGCTGGAGCCCAACAATGTTTGGAGTCTCCCAGGTTGGGGAGCTCTCTTCTAGAAAGAGGAATTTATGGGGAAGAATAGGCACTCACCCAAATGTAACCTTTTGCTCCATACTTTCTAGGCAAAAATCCATGCTTTCAAGCGTCATGTCAGAGCACTTTCTCCCCCTGTCTCTGTCACTTTCCCCAGGAAAACCCGCTCTTTAATGTTGAATCAGAACAAACAGCAATTCAGGATTGCTGTTTGCTCCAATTCAATGTTGAAGAGCAGTTTTTCATGGGGAAAGCACCAGAAGGGGAAAATAAGTGCTTTAAACTGTGGACCAGTTCCTAAAAACACCGCACAAAAGGAAGTCTGCATGAGCCCAAACTGCATCCATATAATACTTTTGATCAACTGATGAAAACATGTTGCAAATAAAGCAGATCTAGGAATGGATCATCCATTTCTCGGTGAGAGAGCACATGCCTTGTGTACAGAAAGTCCCAGGTTCCATCCCGACAATCTCCAGTTTAAAAGGGCTGAGTAGCAGGTGAGGGGGACGCAGGTGGCACTGTGGGTTAAACCACAGAGCCTAGTACTTGCCGATCAGAAGGTCGGCGGTTCAAATCCCCACGACGGGCTGAGCTCCCGTTGCTTGGTCCCTGCTCCTGCCAACCTAGCAGTTTGAAAGCATGTCAAAGTACAAGTAGATAAATAGGTACCGCTCCGGCGGGAAGGTAAACGGCGTTTCCATGCGCTGCTCTGGTTCGCCAGAAGCGGCTTAGTCATGCTGGCCACATGACCCGGAAAAGCTGTCTGCAGATAAACGCTGGCTTCCTCGGCCGATAAAGCGAGATGAGCGCTGCAACCCCAGAGTCAGCCACGACTGCACCTAATGGTCAGGGGTCCCTTTACCTTTACCTAGCAGGTGAGGAGAAAGATTCCTCTGCATGAGATCCCGCAGAGCTGCTGGCAGTCAGAGCAGCCAATACTGGGGTTGATGGATCGGTTCAGTTGGATAGCCTAGTGCCTCGAGAAAAGTGTGAAGCCCTCGCCTCAAGAGATGGCAAGCCGCTGCTCTCTCAGCCTCCGCCCGACATTTGCGACGCGAGGCTCATCATACCGGCTTGCTTTTACGGGGTTGTTATAAGGACCGCCGAGATAATGCATGCGAAGTGATTTGAAAGACTGAAACGTGCTATATAAATGCGAACTATTATTATTAATGGGACGTGGAGGGAGCAGGAGCAGTTGCAGGGCGGTTTGAAAGAGACGTCGGAGAAGTGAGAGCCATTGGCCACAATAATAATAACACGGCACTCTCTCTCTCACACCTTATTAAAGGATGCTTCTGAGCAACAACAACCGAGCCCTTCTGTTACCGGCCGGCAGAGTATGCATGAAACATGGCAGCAACAATTAAAGAAAACCATCTGGTAAACCTATTATCTGCCGAGATCCAAATTCACTTAATAGGACACTCAAAAAGAGTCATTGCCCATTACCAGTGACTGAGGACACACTACCAGATTTAGCCAGGTGTGACAGAAATAGGAATAGGAATAGGCTTATATGATGGGCTCGTTTTGTGACTTTCGCGGCTCGCTGGGACATAGGTGGTTCGCAGGATGCTAATGGGAAGCAAGGGCAACCGAAAACACTGATAGTTGTGGAGGGAGGTCCAGGAGCATGGAGGAAGGTCCCACTTTACAGATAGGGTAAAGGTTCAGGATTGCCCCAAGGAGTAGCAAGGAGCGGCAGGTGGTCCCCCTCCCAAACGTTTCCTGCTATCCTCATTCACTCCCCCGGCATTAAAGTCACAGTATTTTCCAGTCCTGGGCTAGTCTTCAGCTGGTGGGTTAGAACCCTCCAGCAGGTCATGGCCTGGTCCAAGGTGGGTTGCAAAAGCCACATGGCCACCATACCAGAATACAGTCATACCTCAGGCTGAAGTTGCTTCAGGTTGAGTGCTTTCGGGTTGCGCTCCGCGGCAACCCAGAAGTAACGGAAGGCATTACTTCCGGGTTTCACCACTCGGCATGCGCAGACAGTCAAAATGACGTCGCGCGCATGCGTGGATGCGGTGAATCGCGACCTGCTCACACACAGACACACGGACATGGGTTGCATTCGCTTCAGGATGCGAACGGGGCTCCAGAACGGATCCCGTTCATATCCAGAGGTACCACTGTATGGTAAAAAAACACACACAATAATGCTTAAGAAATGGGTTTCCAAAGGCATGCTTGAATTAAAGGTAGGTCCCTAGGGTGAAGAAAATGAATACCACTGCTACATACATGGGTGTGTAGTTTACTGCCCTAATAATAAGAGCCAGAGTGATGTAACATAAAGGGTTGCCATATGTCCTCTTTTTCCAGGACACATCCTCTTTTTTCAGGATGAGAGTCGTCATAGAGATGATGATAATAATAATAATACTATAACATACTATTACAGTGGTACCTCTGGATGCGAACACGATCCGTTCTGGAGCCCCATTCACATCCTGAAGTGAACGCAACTCACGTCTGCGCGTTGCAATTCGCCGCTTCCGCGCATGCGCACAATGTCATTTTGACTGTCTGCGCATGCGCGAGTGGCGAAACCCTGAAGTAACACGCTCCGTTACTTCCGGGTCGTCGTGGAGCATAACCTGAAAACGCTCAGCCTGAAGCACATTTAACTTGAGGTATGACTGTATTTATACCCCACCCATCTGGCTGGGTTTCCCCAGTCACTCTGGGCAGCTCTCAACAGAGTATTAAAAATAGGATAAAACATCAAACATTAAAAACTTCCCTAAACAGGGCTGCCTTTAGATATCTTCGAAAAGTCAGGTAGTTGTTTATTTCCTTGACATCTGGTGGGAGGGTGTTCCACAGGGCGGGCTCCACTGCCAAGAAGGCCCTCTGCCTGGTTCCCTGTAACTTGGCTTCTTGCAGTGAGGGAACCACCAGAAGGCCCTCGTGGCTGGACCTCAGTGTCCGGGCTCAACGAAGGGGGTGGAGATGCTCCTTCTGGTATCCTGGGCCAAGGCCATTTAGGGCTTTAAAGGTCAGCAACAACACTTTGAATTGTGCTTGGAAACGTACTGGGAACCAATGTAGGTCTTTCAGGACCGGTGTTATATGGTCTCGGTGGCTACTCCCCATCACCAGTCTACCTGCCGCATTCTGGTTTAGTTGTAGTTTCTGGGTCACCTTCAAAGGTAGATCCGTTAGTAGTTGGCAAATGTGTCCTCTTTTTCGATCTTCAAAATATGGCAACCCTAGTTGGACCGCAACCAGGAAGACCACTTGGCCATGAAGTTCACTGGGTGCGACTTTGCGCCAGACATTGTCTCTCGGCCTAACCTCATTCACAGGGTGGTTTTGAGGTTAAAACACAGAGTTGAAGAACCACATGCACCACCGTGAACTCCTTGGAGGAAAAAGGTGATATAGAAATGTAATAAATAAATAAAATAATTGCCTTTGCTGCTACTATGAGCAGCAAAAGCAGCAGAAGTATTATTAGTTTGAGCAGCCCCTGGTAAAGATAGACTTAATATTTAAAGAACAGTCCTAGTGGGTTTTTCACCCCCAGTGTGAGGCCTGGCATTGCAGT